CCCCCCTCTCCCCGCGTCCTCGCGCTCCTTCTGCTCCCTATCGAGTTTTGCTCGTCGAGCTTTATGCACCCCATCCGTCCGATCGTCCGTTCGCTCGCACATCCACCGCGCCACCGCCACCATCGCCGCCGCCACCCCCTTCCCCACCTCCCTGCCTCCCTCTTCCCTCCCGACCTTCCCTCACTCCCTCCCTCTACAACCCTCTCTTTCAGACTCCTCATGCGTCATCGATGTCCGACGATGCACAGACCCGCCGGATATTTTTCATGCCTTCGTCACTTAATCGCTACAAGTCGCTTACGCGACCGGGCACACTTACTCATTGTGAGGTATGTCCTCCTCCTGCTGGCGACTCGAGCCTATCCACAACAGAAACAGTACCCCGGTGCGCAGCAGCCTGTCGACGGGCAGGAACATTATTTCCGACGGTTCTCAACAATTATTTCTCGAAATCCTCTCTCTTTCTCTCTCTTCCCGTCCGTTCCTCCTCCTCCTCCTCCCTCCTTACCCGCGGTCCCACGCTGTTCTCGGAGGTACGGGGGTGAGCGTGGCCCGTTTCTCTCTCTCTCTCTCTCTCTCTCTCTTCCTCTCTTTCTCTTTCACCCCCCGGGTAATTTCGTGATTGGCGATCGATCGTCGAACGGGGACCAGCAAGACCAGCGAACCGGTCGTCTCTCGGTTGGCTCAGGCGATTTAACGATCTTCGCGCATCGTCCATACGTCGTGCATCTTTTTTACGCACTGCGCTCGCGGATCTCCCTCTCTCTCTCTTCGTCGTTGCCCACGACTTTTTCCGAATTCGTCGATCTTCGATCTATCTACTCACTAATCGTAACTCGACCTGTCACCCGCGCGCGTGTACGTATCTGTGTATGTGTGTGTGTGTGCTCTATCTATGTATGCATGTATGTATGTACAAGTCGGCAAAGTCGAAGCGGTTATCGTTATAGCGATAACGCGCGCTCGGACGATCCAGCGTTCCGCGCACAGAGCGCTGCTTCTTCTTCCTCCTCCGCCACCACCTCCTCTTCTTCCTCCTCCACCTCCTCCGCCTCCTCTTCTTCTTCTTCTATTCTTTCTTCAGCTCCGACGCCTTTCCCTCTTCGTGATGCCCCTTTCGCGAGTGGTCCTCGCGACGAGTACGGCCAACTCGATCATCTCAACGGGAAGAGAGGAAGGCGGCGTTCCGGGCTGCGTGCCGTTCCGGAACGTGTGTCCGAAATGTCACTGCCTTCTCCGGAGCCGAGCGCGACCACATGATTTCACCGCGCGAAACGTAGGCGGCATTCTCTCGCTCGCTCGCTCGCGCACCACCCCCTCAGTGCCGCTACGACGACCGGACGACGCGATTTATTCGCACTATTCTCCGCGACGCGGCGGCGGCCGCCGATTACCGCGTTGTCGCGCGATCTCAGCACGGTTCACGCCGTAACGCGCAGAGAACCAGAAAGAATGGAAGACGGGAGAGTGCGTCGGAGGTAGGAGAGGAGGGAGAGCGAGAGACGGAGGGTGAGATCGCGAGGAGGAGGGTTGAGGGTGAAAATCAGAGGGAGGGAGAGAAAGAGAGAGAGAGGAAGAGAGCAAACCGTAGAAGCGGCGGGAAAGGGGGCTGCGAGGGAGGGAGGAGAGAGGGTGACGACGAGCGAGAAAGAGAGAGCGAACGTGGTGGAGGAGGGTGGTGGTGGTGGTGGTAGTACGCGCGGACGGAAAGGGTGAAAAGAGGGTGGTGGCGGGCGTGTGGACGAGGGAAAAACGCAGGCGGGCGGACAGAGAGAACACTCGCGAGCCTCGCTCTGGCGAGCGGCACGTGACACGACCGGAGCGAGTCCACTGCGCTCGGCACGGCTCCGCTCGCAGGGGCTGTCGCGAATACTCGCTCGTGGAAAATCGCGCGAGGGTGGCTGGCGCGGAGGTGACGGTGGTGGTGGCGTCGGTAACGTTACGTTACGTTGCGTCGCATCGCGTCGCCTCGCCTCGCGCCGCCATCTCCGCCGCCGCCTCCGCTCTGACCACCAGAGGCGGCTCGGCGCGCGCGCATTACTCTTACTACGTCTACGATCAGCGCGACGAGGCAGAGAGAGAGAGAGAGAGAGAGAGAGAGAGCTCGGAGTGGCGCGACGCCGCGTTTCGATAGTACGTTATTCTGGCGGGGAGTGTGAGCGCGTACTCTCTCTCTCTCTCTTCTCCGCCCCTCTTTCACCCGTCGGCGACGCCGAAGGGGATCGAAACGGCGGGAGGACGAGGGTGTGAGGGTGTAGCGCCCATGGCGGTCGCCGCGATAACGCCGATGAACCGCCGGAGGCGAATACGCCGCGGAGTGGCGGTTGCGGTAGCATCGTCGAGCCCGTCGAAGCCGCTGCGGAAGCTTCCTCGGAGAGTTCCTCAGTCCCTACAGTCCGTGGAGCTCTTGCACCCAGCTTCGCGAGGATGGGCAATGGTGAACGGCCCAATGTCGCGAGTCCTCGGCGCGCTGAAGAAGGGCAGGAGGTGGTTGGCGGTCGCCTGTACAGAGAAGAGAGAGAGAGGAGAATGAGGGATGAAAGCGACACGAAGAGGAGGAGGGGCTGGTGGTGGTGGTGGTGTTGGTAGTAGTAGTAATAGTTGGCGAGAGGGCGAAGGGGAAGAAGGGAGGGAGACACGATGGAGCGGCGGCCCGGCGGCGCGCTGTTCCACGCTGAGGGAAAGGCGCGACGCACGGGGGAGACAGACAGACCCGACCTTACGCCACGTTACGGGGGTGTAACGCGGCGCAAGCCCGGTATCATTGATTTAACATATATCTATATCTTACGTAAAGGCTGAGCTTTTCCTGCTACCTCCTACCCCGCCTCCGCCCGCGCGAGGCAAGGTAACACATCGCGTTATACTTGTCTAAGCACGACGGGAATAGCGTTATGCGCGAATTGTGTAATAAGACGGCCGTGATAGACCTCCTCCTCGTCGTCTCGAGGCGACGAGGTCGTCGAAAATCCGTATCTACCGGCGGCTGTGCGCCGCCGGCGACTCGGATGAAGCCGTTCGGCGGATTTTCGCGGTTCGCCGGGGCGCATTTCGCTTCGCTCGCACCTTCGCCCCCGCGAAACGCGAGGAACATGTTAAGCAGGGAATAATGATCGTCGTTCGCTCGTCGTTGATTTGTTTTCGCTCACTGATACGGCGATTCCTTGTAACGTTACGTTCGATCGCTTCCTCGCGACGATTGGAAGTCAACACTTCCATCACGACGGAACGAAAGAACGACAAATAAGATTCGCGTAAGATGGAACACCGGAGAGATAAATCGCGCTTTTTTGCTCATTTTTTTTTCTTGCACTTCGTCTGCTACTTTGAAGGATGACTATGTAGGAGAAAGCGTAATTCATTCGCAGTAATATACGATGGATGTTTTTTGTACAGAATGTTGCATCTACATGCAAGTCAGTGCGACGGGTTGCCTACCGGCAGGCGCGTCTGGTTGGTACACAACTCTGTAGGCTTCGGCGTAATATTTACTTGCACACTCAGAAAGGTACGCAAGCGAATATGCCGCCAAGGTCTACGGCGTTGTGTACAACTACGCGCGCCCACCCGATAGGCAATTCGTCGTACCGACCTGTGTGTTGATGCAACACCCTGTATATTATTACATCGCCGAGTCGGAAATTCACAAATGCCGTCACTAATGCTTCCAGCTTTGCACATATACGTATATATGCCCATGTAAATAATGTATTATATATACATATATATATATATATATATTATAATGTATTTTATATATAATATTATATAAATTAAATATTTTATATCATAATTTGTAAATTATTAATATCCGTTAGCGAAATCGCTTAAATTTGCATACGATAAATCAGTCATTGTGTTCCACGCAAATTCATCAACATCTATCAATAAATCAAACATTGTGATGCGATACAATGACTGATTTATAAATATAGTTATAATATATATAGGATAGGCAGGAGAAGCTTCTTACCAATCGAATACGATTGATGAGAAGCGATCGATCGTAGGCAGGATGTGGATTCATTCTTGGGAGTCATTCGGAGCAGTAACGTAGACCCTGGTCTGTGTGTGTCTCTCTCTTATAAATCTGCGTCGGACTAACAAGCCAATTTCGTCGGTGACACGGAGACGATACCGTGCAATTTTTTCTCAGTGCTAAGCAGCTGTAACGAACGACGACCGGCGTGAGTGGACCGCGGATTTCTGAGCGCCTGAAAATTAAATATATGAGAATATATGGCATTTATTTATTTCAACTTTAAAAGAGTGAAAATTCGGTTTCGTTTATACAAATACTCCTTATACATAACGCAATTTCCCACTCCTGGAATACGTAATCCTACTATATATTCGGTATTTTTTCTGTAATATTATCTGTTCGTACAACAGTAGAAAACTTTGTGTTGCATGCAGTATCATTACGCCTCCCTCTCTCTCTCTCCCTCTTTCTTTCTCCCTATCTCTGTCTCTTGACAAGCCCGTAAAATATACTTCCACTTCGAGCATTAATATAATTTACAAGTCTATCGTATTTTATATTATATATGAGTAAACCATTTTTACACTTGCTAATTACATTTGTCAGTGGTACTCGGTATTTAAACTTCGTCAAAAGAAATTACAAACTTAACGGAATGACCGGAATGCAAGAGAGACAGGGATTTTACACATATTATCTGACTCACGTCGCATAATATAGTGCAAATTAATACTCTTCGCATATGTATACATATATTTATATATATATATTATAGTGGGTAAAAGAAGCATTTGCACGCTTCAACTTCCTTGTTATTTTTTTTGTTCGGAAATGATTCACATCGAGAGAAAAATATCGCTACACACACACAGCTTCTACCAGAATATATCATTTTTATTAATAAGCTGAGAATAAGGTCACATTGCAGCAAATACCTTTTTTATCCACTATACGACATCCAACTATGCATCGAAGCGTTTCGTAAGGTGTGCTCGTCGATGCGAGTTTTTTTCTTCCCTCCTATATTTATATATAAGTATATTCTACATTAAAAACGGTATATTCTACATTAAAAAAGACAAAAAAAAACACTTGGCAGAAATGTATACAGAAAGAGTTTTCGCCTAAGACAATCTACCGCCTCTTTCCCACAACTGAAGACCTCCATTACAGCTGTTACATCCGACGATTGATACCGGTACAATCTCGAGAAGTGGAGAAATTCTCGCGTTTCATTTTGACTAACGAATAAAATAAATCATTGACACGTGGTGGTTAATTAATTCGGCGAAATTATTACCGGCATTAATCCTCGGTCACATCGCGCTCGTTTACACAATTACTCCGCGGATCGCTCAATATATAATTTTGTGCGAATCGATAAAAATGTAAGAAACACTTAAATAGTATATCACATGTTTAATATGTTTTACCAAGTGTTCGTTTAACAATTTTTCAGCTTTACAAGTCTACTCTGCACGAGCCGCTCGTATGCGGCTCGCTCGCTGTCCGACGTGTTCTATTTATTTTATCAAGCCTCTCGTGTATTTGCTTCACGTGCACGATTGTATCTTGCTGAAGAAAAATAAAAATTGACTCCTCTGTCGCGAATAACAATATGTAAAAACTTTCCAACAACAATCCATGCGATGCTTAAATTAACTCGTGTTATATATATATATATATGAATGAACAATATGTGTATGTGTATATATGTGAGTACATGTGTCAGTATGTGTATATGTGTATGTCTGCATGTTCGTATTCACTGTGACATCACTTCGGTCACACGCATATTAACGATAGGTCGGAGCTCTTGTTGCGCGTAATCCTCGGGCAAGGGTAGCTGCGATATCAGACGGACTAATAGCTTCGTGACGGACCTGCTGTCGTTCTTCTGCAGCATCAACAGATTTCTAGCCAAGTGCAGAGTCCTCTTCGCGATTTCAGCTTGACACAATCTGAAAGTACGAGGAATTCAGCGTTAGAGCGATCTCGAGAACCAAGAGAGAGAGGGAGAGAGAGAGAGAGAGAGAGAAAGAGCCGAAGAGCCACCGCTCAGATGCGTGTGGATCGCACATGCCGCACGCGTTTACCTGTGTTTAGCGGTTGGACACGGGAACTGATCGATGTTGAGACAGAGAGACGTCAGTCGCGGCTTTAGCGCTTCCAGCTGATACGTGATCCCGCAGAAATCCGACGTGTGCAGCAGGCTTTGTATTTCGCTAGTTATTTCCATGTACTCCCACAGAAGCTGTCCTTGATGCGGCCATCCACTGATAGTGCTACTACATTCAACTGGTACTAATGGGTTCAGCAAAGACTTTAAATATTCGTAATTCTCTGGAAGACGAAAGAATAATAACAAATCAAATATATAATTATATGTAATGAAAAATATTCCACACAATTGTTCACGATATATGTGACGATATACAAGCAAGGTGGCGAGTGATGATACCGTTTATTATAGCGTCGGCTGCCAAGTGTTCTATAATGATCTCGTGAGCCTGGTTCCATTGTTCCGCCTGTATATAGTACCAGGCCGCTTCGCCATACCTATGTAGATAAAGATGCATATCAAAAGCGGAAATCTAAGTAACCTTCTTTATTCCTACAACTTGTTACAACTTTTCAACTTTCATATCATTTACACGTCGCCATAGTGCAGAGAGATTCGTCCAAGTCGAGAAGCCTATTATTCCATATGCGAGAACATAAACAATGTATGTGTATTTGAAAGTAAGATAAAATAAAAGCTCTGAGCGTTGAGATGTACGATCGAGTTTGAAAGTTGAAGATCTACGAGGGCTACAGCGCGAAAAAATGCCTGCGATACAAACTTGTTGATTAGATATTTATTAAGCGTTAATTATTTTATCGCACAATGCAGATAAGTGCTCCGTTCCGTGTCTCGGGATTTCTTTCAACAACCTGAATGTATACATTGAACGTTTCTCAAATACCTCCTGTTGATTCTACTCTTAATGGCCTTGGCTTGGTGAATCCAGACCGACGAGATGCCGAGCTCCTCCTTCAGGAACTGCTCACGCTGCGCGTACTCCAGGTTCTCGTCGTCTACCTTTACGTCTATCTCTATGTGGCGCAGCAGCAGGTCTTGCACGGCGGCTCGTCGCCTAGCCGAGTCGCGTAGATGCAGCATCACGAAGATCGCCCAGTGCCACAGTCCGTGCGCCTCCAGCTGCGTGGCGAAGTTCGTGTGCGTCAACGCGAACACGTGGTCGGCCAAGTGCTTGTAGCCCAGGCCCACGAGCAGCTGTTGTATCAGCCAGCTACGGAAAACGAAGGAGAGCATCGATTTCAACATTTTCCGCGAGAATGTCGGGCATGCGTTTTCCCGCCTCCGACGTCACCAAACGAGACTCCCGCTATACATCCCGTTCTCGAGTGGGATATACTCGATTTCGCCGCCCGATCCCTTTCATCGCGCTCACGGGATTAACTGTACAGACACACACACGCAACTAGGGAGCGTGCGCGCGTGCGAATGTCGCCGACATGAAGGTACCTCAGCCTGTAATCCAGCGGATTCGCGGTGTAGGATGCCGGATTCAGCAGCTCGCCGAGATCGTGAATCCCGGTGCAGTAGAGCTTCAAAAGATGAAAGCAGAGGTCGTATATCCGCCTGCCGTTGCTGATCTCGGCGTCGTAGTCGCTGCCTCGGTACTCGGGCTCGGGCGCCGCCGCGTACTCGCTCTCGGTCGTGTTGAACGACGCCTCGTAGAGGTCGAGGACGTCCCTGATCGAGCAGGTAGGCGACGACAGGTACCACAGGTGGATGGCGAAGGCCCGCTCCCAGTCGAGGTTCTCGCACACGTTGATGGTGCCGTGGTGTTTGCTGACGATCAGCGGCTCGCCCGCCACGATCATGAAGAGCTTGAGCCGCTCGACCGTGAGGTTCTTGTCCACGTCGGTCTCCTGCCAGAGAGCCAGCTGCTGCCTGATCAGCTCCTTCACGGGTATCCCGCTGCGCAGCTGCGCCATCAGCAACGCCAGGCAATGGTCGCCGGCGTTGCGCGCGAACTGGCAGGCGTCCTCCAGCTTGCAGGCGGACAATAAAGAGAGGATTACCTTCTCGTTGTCGCCGTATACGCTCTTCGTCTCCCGCTCGACCGTCTTCTGCACGACGCTCTTCAGCCACTCGCCTATCGCCTCCCTCCTCGCCATCTCGTTGTGATGCTCGCCGTCGTCGACGAGGGACTCGTGGTCGAGCTGGTCGCCCCACAGCGCCACGCACAGCTTCCACACGACGCTCGCGTATTGGCGGAACGACCGCTCGGCGCTGCCGGCCTGGTACCCTTGCTCGTCGGCGACCATCGCGTCCTCGGCCGCTCCCCTCTGCTCCTTGTCCGCGAGCTCCTGCGCCAAGCTGCAGTGGAGCCGCAACGCCTCGACCGCGGTGTTCAGGGACACGTCGAAGATCGGACAGTCGCTCTCCTGCCCGATCACGCAGTGCTCCAGTTGGATCCGCAAGTGGCGGTCTATACTGTCCTTGAAGGTCTTTACGTCGTCTTTGTCGCCGCCCAAGATCTGCAGTCGCTGCACGATCGCGGTTGACGAGGTATCGTCGGCCAGACGGCCAGACACGTAGCTGCCTAGCTTACTGAAGGCGTTCTCCAGCTCCATGTCCTTCGCTTGTTTCTGAGTGCTCAGCGACAACAGCGTCAGACCGACTCCCCAGCTCGGCCGGAACATCCTGCCCATCTGCACGCCGGTGTCGGCGACGCAGCGGAATCGCAGCTCGTTCAAGCGGGACTCCTGGAGCGGCACCACCTCGAAGTGGTACTTGAGCACGCTGGTCACCGGTGAGACCACCGGCGGTAGGATCGCCCGCTCGACGATCGGAAGTTCCCGAGACTCGAGGACGGCCTTCGCGCCGCTGATCACGCGCGGTGGCTGCTGCTTGACGCTCAACGAGTAGAGCGCGCTCTCCTGGCTCGAGAAGAGCGGCGACATCTCGCTCGCGATGAAGCTCGAGCGCAGGGTAGTGACGTTGTACGGCGTCGTCGCCGTCATCGTTTCGTCCCTCTTGGTCTCGGGGCTGCCCGGGAAGTAGCGGGTCAGAGTCTTGCGCACGGACGGCAGTATGTCGGCGTTCGGCTCGTCGTTGACCATGTCGTCGTCGTTGGTGTCGAAGAAGCTCGCCTTCATGAGCTGCAGCTTGTGGCTGTCTGTGCCGGCGACTCGGGCGTTGTCGCCGACCGGGCTAACGGCCGTCCCCTGCTGCTTCTCGTAGCTGTAGTCGCGCGAAGCGAACATGCGGCCGATCGAGGCCTCCCCCAGGTAATTGCTCTCGACCTCCGGGTGCTTGCCGTTCCCTATCTTCACCGTGGCTCCGTTCACCATGGCCTCCTTGCCCGCAGCCGTCGAGAGATCGGTCTTGCCGGCCGCGTTCGCGCCTTTCTGCGGAGGCACCGGCAAGCCCTTCAGCTTCTTCGCTTCTGAAGCCGGCGGTGCCTGGCTGTCGTCCTCGTCCGAGTCGCTCAGACCGTATTTGGAGAAGTGGTCGACCTTGAAGACCCAGGAACCGGTCTCCGGACGGTACTCGAGGAAACGGGTGTCGTGCTTCGCAGACACTCGGCGCAGCTTGCCCTCGTAATTCATCGCGGCGAGCCGCTGCGGATCCGTGATCGGCTCGTGCAGCGACTTGTCGTGCGGCCACACCTTGTCCAGCGTGACCTGCGCCTTGCGATTCAGGTCTTCACCGACCGGCGGCTTCTTGTCGTCGTCCGGGTAGATGATCACCTCCTTGTGCCGAAAGTGAACTGCGACAGCGAATATCGTTATTAATGAAATTATCAATTAATCGCGGCGTGACACTTTTTCGTCGGCAATTAGTTACTTAATATTATTAGTTAGTTACTTAATATTATTAAAATAAATGAAAAAAAAAATAGATATATATATTGATTAATAATATAATATAAATGTAAGTAAGTTGTAATATAATGTTCGTAATTTCTCTCTTTTATATAAGCAATAATATAAGTTCATTATTACTAATATAGATTTTACTAAAAAGGATGATAACAATAGTATGCGTACGTTGAAATGTAAATAAACGTGTGTTTCTGGAACTTACCGATTTCGTCCAGATTCAAGCCGTACACGTCGAAGGAGTCCGGGAAGTACACGTTCCCGTAGCCTTCGCGGCCGATGGTGAAGTGCGGCACGACGCATGTTTCGCCGCGAACGTAATCGTCCAATTTATCGATCGGTGGAATAGTGTAGTAACCAGCTCGTCGCAATGTGACTTTAGCCTTGTTCATAGTCCAGTTCGACTGCAGCACCGAAAATGAATTCTCTTCTGCGTCTTGACTCGAATCTGTAAGACGCACGCAAACGAATAATCGTTTAAGACATATATATACAAAGATGATCGTTTCGTATTTCTTCGACACAAATGTAGACACTTTAAGATCCAGAACTAATACGTAGGAAATTACATTGAAAATACGCACCTGTATTCTGCATGGTAAGATTCGCAGAGCTCTTGTCAGCGAGAGTGGAAGAATTGTGCGGCACTTCGACCGAATTAAACGTCTCGGAAAGCGTCGAATTCGGCGTATTATGTTGCGACCTCAGCTCGGCCACCGTATTGTTCATTTCCTCGGTCGCGTTCGTTCCGGAGAACGGCGATTTTTGTCCCTCCAATTCGTCGTCCAGGACTTTGCTCTTGCGCGGAATTGTCGATTTCAACCTGCGAATAAAGATCGAACGTAAAGATACCAGAGTTTATATTCTCTCAGAATCCGTGAGAGAATATTTTTCACAAATTAATCGACGCAGAAACAGAAATTGAGCGCCGTTGTCTCACCAAGATGTGGACGACCGTCGATCGTTCGCAAGTCGATTATTATCTTGGCTATGATTTTCCTTGTTGGTAATTTCGACAGTGTTGACGTATCCATTTGACACGTCCGACCTACTATCGTCTGTACTAGTGGGCCTCGACGAGGGCCCATTTTCGGTAGGAGATGGGATCGAAGAATTCGTCGCCGATTTCGGGCGCAGCACCAAACGCTTCGCGTTCGGCCGAGGCTGGAAAGCCTCGGACAGCACAGGATCCTCCTCTTCTAGACCATCGAACAATGATTTCTGGAGAAAGAATGTGATACTTTAGAAGAATTATATAATTTTAATATTTTAGAGCGTTTTATATATAATTTTAATATTTTAGAAATATATTTTATAGAATATTTTAGGGGGAAGTTTCATCAAATTATTTTCACACCGAACAGGTATATACTGTATCGCTCAATAAAAATGAAATATCGGTTTGTGTTTGTACGCGGAGATGTTAACATTAAATTTTCCGTTATTAATATTGAACAAAAAATATTTAAATATTTTGTGATTTAATGAATTCACCTTGGACAATTGCACTGCGCTGACGGCCCTTGCTTTGATTTTAGGAGACCTACTGTTGGCGGTAACTTTATACTGTGGGCTGTTCAACATCTTCGATGTTGGATTTATAGGTTTCAGCAGCTCTTCAGCTTTTCCAGATGCCTGTGAACATATGACACTAATGCATTTCTCCGACACTTGCCTCTATCCACGTAACGACCTGAACGAACGAGATACTTACTGGCAAAAGATTCTTCAACAACGGTGAATCACCGAATGGTGCTGAAACGAGAGCCAAGATCTGCTGATGCACCGGTACTGAATCAGTTTTCGTTTGATTTGACGCCATTCTAAAATATTATATCAATTATATGTATATGTATTTTATGTACTATATATATATCATATATATATATATATATATATATATAT